TGTGTAACTTTGCACTAAACGTACTTACTTGAATGTGCTGAACTAGAATTTTGATTTTATTTTTATGCTGTAGGCAATGCATATTTATGGTTTTATTTGCAATAAAAAAGATCCTTATTAAGTATATCTAAATTTATGTACTTGTGGACAGTATAAGGTCGACCTCAGCGATATCGTGATAGATATTTATCTGTAGAAGTACATTAAAATATAACTTCAAAAGATGGAATGTTCTTGCTCATAGTTTAAAAAATAATTTAACGTTTATGGGTAGTAAGTTTACTTCATTTTGAAGGGCTGTCTAATTGTTAATTGATTATTAATGTATGCGATATATTCTAAGACATGAACTTTTTTAGTTTGTCACAGCGGAAACAGTGAACTAGAATATAACGATTAGTTAATCTTCATCTAAGCAGAAATTATATAATATCCAGCGAGTACACATACGTTGGAAGCAAAAATGATTAAGAAAGGTATTAATTGTTTAAGAAATTTAAGTTAAAACTGTATTTATTAATTACATTTATTTTGTGTTTATAATATAAAGCATTGTATATATATGTCCATATAATATATAAGCGTGCATAAAGTATAAGTAACTAAAATATACCATTTATTAAAAAAATAACATTTCTCAACAGATATAATTTATGAGTATCTAATTTATCTAATGAAAAACGCTCTAACGGGGTTTTATATACTTTTTATTTTTGTTATTATGTTTTAAATATCATCTGTAGTTCAGTTAAGAACTGTTTAAACTCCATATCTATATTGATACTTGTTCAATTAGTTTTAATGAAAACCGTTATTATGGTAGAAGATAGTTTTTTTATGTTTTAAACCGTTACAACGTTACCGCATACAATTATTGATGTTCCGTCGATTATAATTTTAAATTAAATCTGTAGCTAAGTTGACTTAAACAATACAATGTAAATCAATTAAGGAAATAAATGGTATTTTATTTATGTACATCCTAATAACATAATATGTATATATCTTATGTTCACAACAAATACACTTGTACGGTTAAAAATAGATGTATTTGAAGATACCCGTAAGTGGTTAGTACGAATATTTCTAGCCAGGTAAAGTACACAACGTGTAAATAGAATTTGAAACTTTAATAAATTAATCAAAAGTTATTAGATTTACAGAAGTAGTATATAATCTCATAATCTCGTTAGTTTTTTTTCATTTATTTTCTTCGCTAAAAATTTATCTTCCATCGAGACTGTTTATTGTTTTTCTAAAATTATTATCTTTTACTATTATTTTTTATTATCGTTCAATAACAAATTTGAATTTAAAGGTGTCGATTTTAAATCAATAATACATCGATTAAAATGTTCATATAGATAGTGTTTATGAAAATATTTATATAATATATATATATAATATTGACACAATCGACATCACATGACTCGTGTACAATAAAATGACTGGGCAAATGCAATACTCTAGTATGGTCAAAGTAAAATTGAGGCTGCAAAAGAATTAACTGACGGTTTAACCCATCTAAGGTAACTCACGTTTTTTACAAATGAACCTTTAAAAATTGTTTCAGCTACCTGGTTACCATTACCGTTAAATCAAAACAAAAAATATAAAATATTGATTACAAATCGGAACGTTCGGTAAAACTTTTCGGCATGTTGTTAAAAATTATAAGTTTATGACTACAATAATTCGAGTGGGAAAACCGTTCGGTGACTGATTATCAATACTGCGGGCGACGCGCGGAAAGTTTACCAATATCCATTTCACACCCTGTACGTTACGCGCATAATTCGAATGACAAAACGCAATAGACGACAGCAGACAACTCTTTATACCGCGAAACGGAATGATGTACGAAACGAATATTTGAATGAATTTAAACTGAGCCATCGAACGCACTGCGATTTACTCGGACAAATGGTCGGTCGTCAATCGTTCCAAACGACTCGCGCACACCACGGGGTCACCCGAGTCCGTTATTGCATCTTGGACAAGGGATGCGAGTGGGTACCGCCTGTAGTCCCGAGATCGGAGCAGCAGTCGTTAGCGTCGGTCGAAAGGATCGATTCTGGTCATATGGTTTCGAACGGTTGATGACGATGAGGCTTCTCATCGGCACCCAAATCTTCGAGACCCGACAAATAATGGCGACATCACGTTGTCCACTTATGCTCGATCTAAATTGACAAAAGCTATCTACCTATGTGAATTCAACACGTTTCAGGAAGTTACCGTTATTCGTCGACGTGTACGGTACATAAATCTGGAAGTCAGCCGAACCGAACGTAATATGAAAAAAATATCTGGGCTTTCCAGTCGATGTACCGTCGTTTTATTGGATCTGCGACTCCGCGCGATAGAATACAATACACCGATATCAAGCTCCGCGAACGTCGAAAATACAAACCGACTTGCTAAAGCATATAACTTATGTTACGCATGTTTTCTTATCGTGAAAACCGAAAGCCGACTACAATTCGATATCATCGAACGTCTCCTTACTCACCACACCCCGAGCAATAATATCCGCTTAAAAGGTTCGCGTACGGAACTGACCAACTAAAGACTTCCTTGGAGCCAAGTTTCCTACGTTTTCACCATACCCAATGAATTCGACCGGATTCGAATGTTGAAATTGTTCTATTAACATTTTCACAGTACAATGTTGCTGTTTTGTATTGTGCGAACTTAATATTATTACTGCGCGCATCGGGTTTAATAATTATGTATGCGTAGAAGCATACTCGGTAATTTTGAATGCGGGATTGAAATGGTTTTTTATTATTTATAAATAAAGGAATGAATATAAAAATGAGATATCTTTTACAAAGTAAAAATAAATAATGTACAAGTTTTGTATTACAAAATATTTGTTGGATTAAGCGTATAAATCAAAAAACAAATTCAACTCTACGAGGTTTTTTCCAAGCTATTTTCTAAAGTAAAATTATTTTTATAATTTAAATTTGAAAACTTTTAGCTAATCAGGAGATATGTTTTATCTTTACTTCAGCTTCTTTAAACAATTTTTTAAACTAATTAGTTATGTTTTTACGTAATTTTAGAATAATTTTTTTTTAGTAATAGGTATTCAACAACATTAAATGTTTTTTTCGGGTCAACTTTTGCAAAAATTTAAATTATATGAAAATAATAATTTATGAAATATAAATAATTTTAATTTTAGTTGAAAATCAGAAAATTCGTACCTTATAAACTATATTGTGGTGATGCAGTCAGGGCCAAATTTAGCGGTGATGCTTTAAGCTTATATTGGGAAATTAAAAGAACCTCTAAAATCAAAACTGAAATTTGAAAATTGTCTGTTTCGTTTTTTTTTATTTTTGATACTTAGATCCGGCATCGGACGCAGTATCGGGTGTAAAGTAGTGTTTAAGCGTATTATCAAAATTAAAATCAAATAATATTGTTCTAGATACCTAAGTAAGTACACCTTTAGTCGTGATAATACCACAACTAATAAAAAAAAGTGTTTAGATAATTACTTGGTATCTGCCATATCATAATTGATATAAAAATGATATAAGAATGTGAAATTAATAAATATTTACAATAACTAATGGTGTTGAGGGGGTAAACTCTTTACCCCCTCTCACTATGAGCATGCTCACGTGTATGCGTATGTTTTTTAAGAAATAATCGTTAGCGTACGGCTTTATCGATTTTTATCTTGGGATCTTTCATCGTGCATAATTGTCGAACAAGAAATCAATATTTTAATATTATTTAAACAAATGCTATAACCCGAATGTCTACACATAAATACTATTAAATACTGAAATTGAAAAACAAAGCATGGGGATTTTTATTACAAAACTGTTATAACCTTCGAGAACCCATTTCCGAACTCACATTCTTTATAAAATGAATGGCCCATCCCCCGCGTTTGAAGGTTTACCTTCGTAGTATGGATTATGTATGATTAATATTTCACTATAATACTCTTTATTATCATGTGCTGATCGTTGGTTGTACCTAAAATATGTTGTGGGCCTGTCCGTTTAGTATTTGTGGGTTTTTTTTTTTAATTTTTGTTAAAAATAATATTTTATCCATTGACAAATTAGCTCAAAACGAATCAAATATAACTGCGTGGAAAGGATGAAAATAGTCATAATATTAAATTTTTATAATTATACCTAAGAATAGTTTAATAATAGTAATTATTAATTATTACTACATTTAAATATTGTTTAAGAAAAAAATTAAAATAATGTATAGAAATAACAATATTACTAGATAATATTTTTTTCCTCCGAGTAGGTAGTAGTTATCTACTTATAACTATTAATCAAATATTGTACAAGTATTTGAATTTAGCTTTAAGTTTTTTATTTTAATATGCATATAATTGAATCTAATGAATCTCAGTACACGGAATATTATATGATTACATCTAAATTGATCACACTGTTGAAATAAATATTCTTACATTCTATTGTATAACATGATATATTTTGATGGATCTACTTTTCGGTGATGGATTTAAATCGTACGGTTGGTTGTAATAAATGTAGTTAGTGTAAGTGTTAGCTGCTCTGAATGAAAAATTTGAAAAAATAATTAATTCGTTTCAATTATTCATATTTTGTAAATCTCTTGAAACTCACGTGATGAGTGTTATTAATTTCCAAAAATGTGTTATTAAGAAATACTCGTTGACGGCAATATAATTTTTATGATTTTTTCTCGACCCGCCGGAAAGTTTTGCAAACAATTATGGAAGACGCAGTGTAGGTATTAGTGATATTCATTTACGCCCTATTTCTTATATTCGCAATAAATTTTCAGCGTATGCTTATTGTCTACAAAATAAAACGATACCCGAGGAAAAAAACAGAAGTTTTTAAAACTAAATTATATAGTTTCCCATCAAAATCTAAAAAAATAAAAGTTTGTGTTTATTTTTAAAATTAAAATAAGTTACTTTTTACGAGTACTTAATGGAAAAAATTGTTTGTTATATTTTGCAGTACCCCGTAAGAATTGAAGTACAGCGATCATTGTAAATCAATAATGTCTGCAGCCTATCGCAAAATGCGTGAACGTAAACTTACTATTTGACGCGGCCAAAAAAAAGGTAATTAAATATTCGTCTTGTAACTACTGAAATAATATTATACTTTGATGATTCATCTAAATAATATATACTTGAGCAAGTAGTAAAATGAGGTACAATTTTATTTTCATTTTATTTTGTTTTTTTTTAAGTATATAATTTATTATACTACACGAGTTCGCGGCTGTATAGGTACATACATATTTCAACCTTATCGAAATAATTATTAAAAAATTATACAATATTAATAGTATGCAATTAAATCTTCTTTTTTTTGTGATTTGTTATTACAATTTTTTACAATAATATATAATATTTGATAAATTATTTTAATAAAGTATTATAATTATGATTTATGTTTTGAGACATTTTAAATTTAAATTAAAAAATATCCGTTCAACTTTCGCGTAAGGCATACACGTGTAAATTACTGTTAAACTAATGACTTACGTTCTAGCCGTTATAATATTCTTAAGTCTTACGGCGGTATCATAACATAGCCATTATAGAAAATTAAATGTCCAAAAAACCAAATAAAAAATGTTTGTTAAAATTAAATAACACCTTATATTTCAGTGACAGTGAATACACTGTTAACATATATTATTTTGTCAAATTTTAAAATTATAATAATAGCTGATCATATAATGTAAATAAAATAATTAGTAAATACGTTGAAAAAAAAATTTCAAATTCTGTACACACAATATTGATACCAAATAGGACTGGCTTAGTATGATTTAAACTGTTCATCTGAATTCGTTAAACTAGTTATTTTGAGCAGTAACTAGTTTTACAAGTATTTCAACTGTTTAATTGAACAAATATAATTTTCGGTATTACATGTACACTAATTTAATTGACTGATGAACTTTGCAGTCAGAAACTGTTGCGTTTGCGTATTATAACTGCTGTACCGATATACTGGAAATATAATTCAAACATTACGGTAAAACGGAAAAAATTTTATTACAAAAATATTAACTACAAAACTAATCGAATGAAAAATGTTTTCTCACGGATCTTACTCGATCTAATATGTTAGTTATAAGTATTTTTCTTGTGAAAAATATCAATTATAAAACAGCATTTATTGAATTTCGATAAATAATTATAATATTTACACGAATGCATTCTGCAGTGGTAAACGGTGTGTAATTATGTACACATAATACAGAAACTGACCCTCCTACACCAATAATATAACTATAATAAAATATATAATATTCAATCGCCTTAATAATGCGGATTCAAGCAGATATAAAATCTTATATTATTCTATTTATATTATATTATTTGGGCTTAAAAAAAAATCATAAGTAATAATAAATAATAAACCATTTTTTTATTGATTCTTATTTTTTCTCTTCTACTTTTAACGACAATATTTTCTTGCACCGCAAACATCTGACTGACTTAATATTACTTAATATATACTTATAACTTAATATATATACATATTATGTAATCGTAAAAAGCAAGGTAATGGTTTTTGTACAAAACTTCTTTCCAGAGATAAATCAAAACAGTTTTATAGGTTTATCCTATACATAGCTACACCATATGTATTTTTGATATGGTTGGATTTAACGTTGAAAGTAAACAATATTTATACAAATTTTCAATTGTGTCTATTATATTTTACGTTCTGCGTGAAATTTTGTAGACTTTTTTAAATATTCATATATTTATTATATACCATCGCAAAACAAACGGAAACCTCCAGAAGCCCAGACGCTCATTTTTTCTTTAACCTTTGTACACTCAACACATTTTTTCACAGTTATTTAATTATTTCTTCCCCCTGACGTTACGTTAGCGCTCATTAAATTCATAATTTATTTCATTGTTTTTACAATTAGGCCAAAAGTACAGCAGAAAATATTTTTTGAAGTTATTTCAAAAATGTGTCTTGTATAATGCGTTTAATACACAGTTAAGTTTCAAACTGAATATTTCTTACAGTAAATTTCTATCTATTTACTTGACAGTTAATTAAATAAAACTATAACAATTTATACTTTTCCTTGGTTGCACCCCAGATGACTCCAATAAACACTACTCGTATTATTACGTGAGTTGCTAGATATATTTGTAAATATTAACAATCCTAGTATAATATATTTATTAACTAATGATTTATGTTAGACACGTCAACTATTCTTACGATTTTATTTCAACGTTAAATAGTAATAGTATGAAATCAAGAAAATTATATTGGTTAACAATGTTTTTCTTTTAATCATGAAAGTTTCACCTTACTTTTATTCGGTTTTGTTTAATGCCTTAGCAAATATATCAAGGAACTGTTCTTAGTCTTTAAACTCACAAGTGTTAATAAAAATGTACACATAAATATCTATATTACATTTAACGCCTAAACAAAGTAAGTATTAATTTAAAAATTAAACTTTTGAACTAATTCACATTTCCGTTTATGGGATTGAAAAATCTTATTTGATGTTATAAACAACAATGTCAGTATTTTAGCGACAACTGTAAAAGAAAATAAATAAGGAAAGAAGTGAAAACCATTTTCTATGTCAGACATTGATCTCATGACTGAGACAGGCTTACTCACCTTAGCGCAAAGTAGTGATAAAACATTTTTTTGGATTTGAACGTAAAAACTTTCATGCTCAAAAAACGATACAGAGCGGGATGAAACATCAGAGAAAAATAAAAAAAATAATCATATTTAAAGAAGAGATATATTTTTGTTTGTTGATGATTGAATTTAAAATCATGTTTTTGAAAAATAAAATAAAACCGAAAAAACAGTGGCTCACTACCCATCCGGTCTCTAAAATTAATTGATATACCGAATGCACTAGTATATATTTTGTTAAATGGTTAGTCAATCGGTTTTTGTTTTTTAATTTCCGGATAATACAAAGGATGTGTGCAGTGCAAAGCATTGAACCCCTGACAGCTTGTTTTATAAACGAATCTACTCATCTATAGTAGGTTGTTCATCATTCGAAATTATCGAAAATATTTTTTTATAAATTTCATTTCATTTTTGAAACGTAAAAAACAAAAATATTTTCTCTTTTTCTTCGATTTTTTTAACTATGTTATAGCATTGCTGAAATCATTCAACGAGATATTAATAAGTACCTATTTTCATCAAACAATGTATTCAGATTATATTTACGCAAGCTTAAATTTATAGTTGTAATAATTTTTTGGCTAGGTACGTAGGATTTTTTTAGAAATCTACAGCCTGAAAATAAATATGAATAATTAGTTATGAAATCGTATACCTAAAAGTTTTATTAATTCTAAATCTATAAGACTATAGTCTAGCTTACCAGAATTAGTAGCGCATCATGGCCGATTAATCATAATTAATTTTTTTACTGCTAATTAATCTATCGACCGTAAATGTCATGTCATGCATTGGAATTTTAAATTGTAGTTATTCCATTAGAGATTTGGGTAACTTTTAATACTTAGTATTACGCAGTTTCTCACTTATATTGTTTCGAAATAAAACACTGTCAATAAAATACAAGATTTTGGGCACGATTTCAACCGTTTCAAAACGAAACATTGATTTACAGTTAAATACTTTTCGATCGCTAGCATTAAAAATCAATCCTACCGTCGAAATAAAAAACGAAATGCCGATGATTCAATCATGTTGCTCTCATTCGAGAACGATTCCGAATTTCCCGGCACCTGTATCGAATAAGATGTTGTTTTAGTTTAGATGTTGCAGGTTTAGATACGATCGACGTATACGACGGCACTGGGCATCAAAATCATAAGGGCGCACGAGAGGCATCAGAATTAGAATTAAATTTGATCATACGTTTGCGACGCAAATTATCTACTATATATGGAAAAAAAATTTCCTAAGTGATTTAATATGAATAAAACGGTATGTATTCGTCTGGCCATGATGCCACCGCTCGGAAACATAATTTTTACAGTGGCGCAAGTTTTTGCTCTCACTCAAAGAGTGCTTAATCGTATCCAACTAAATTTAAAGAATCCTCCTCTCCATTTTCTATGTCTCTGTAAATTAAAAATATCTACTCGTATTATTATTTATAACAAATGTACTAGATGAAAATTTCAAAAATTTCAAAATTTGATATTAAACAAATTTGCTAATATCGATAGGAAATTATTTTATTTTATAACAGTACAGTCTGAAGACCGAGACAAGGTATTGAGTGACAATAATGATAGGACAATAATAATATTTATATAAATTATTTACATTAATAATTGGGAAGAGTTGGTCCAGGATCGCGGAAGTTGGAGAGCATTGACAGAGGCGGTGAAAAATCTTACTGAGTCATGAAGCCATGATGATGATGATGATGATGATGATAAATGATGTTTGATATTTTAAATTTTAATATAATACAAAAATAAAATGTGTTAAATTGTTTTTTTTTCTTATAATGATATTGTGAATATAACAATTGTATAGTATAAATATTGATTGTATGTAATGCTGTGAAGGGAGTGGGTTCATAATGTAGCATCACCAAGATTTTATGTCTAGTTGCGCCGCTAAATGTTCCTCGGTAGAGGCGAATCGTTTACGTTCTTCGTGCCATGACATTATTCTTACCGTTTTCGGCGGTTTTGCGCGCACGTAGTTTCCACCCCCACCCGTGGTTTTCTCGAAAATTACCGAATGCTCAGCGTGTCCGACGGCTTATCCGAACGTGACTGGTACCGGTAAAGAACAATTCAGCAAATTTCGTATACATAAATATTTACACAATTCCACAAAATTTCAAATCTAGTGTTACCGTAACATCCGTTTATAAATAATTGTTAACACATACAGACGTTTAGAATCTAAACGTGAATCTAAAATTTAGATTCATATGTATCCATTGTTTGATCCATGTTCTGAGATTTTGTTAGCGAACAATACACTTCACAAACTATTCGTGTGCTGCAAAAATGTATAAACTTGTAACTTACTATTTTCGTTGTATATAACATTACTGTTATGGATTGCAACAACAATTAGGGCATATAATAAGTAA